AAGAGGGTAGCCACTATTAAATGTCAAAGCGTTTCATATAAAAAGGCAAAATTATAAAAAAATAGTTTTTTTAATTTTATCTGATTTTTTTTGATATTTTTATCAAACTTATAGACATAGATATATCGAAAATCGTAATGACAAGACTTTTCATTTGATACCAAACACGGCTAGTTTCTGTAAAAATATTTACTTTGACAGATTATGACATTTTTATTATTTTATGACGTTATTGTTTTGTTTAGTGACGTCTTCCTATTTTGAAAACCATCCAGGCCTTCTTAATTCAATGTGTAGGTAGTATATCAAATGTGACTTTTGTTTGAAATTGTGGCAGTTTCAAATGAATTTTTTTTTACATTTTCATTATCTGAATATGTTTAATTGAATTGTAAAATTTAACAAGTCTGCACCTACTGTTGGCTGTCATAAAACTGCTATCTAAAATGATATTGCGTTAATAAAACGTCTTAAAGTGCATTCAGGTACCTACATTAGTAAATTTTGCTTGCGATAACGTTGATATTGTAGGAAGTTAGAAACTTTTAAACAAATATTTTAATTTAAAAATAATAACAATTAAATTGCTTATTTTGCAGTACAAAAATGAAAAGTAAACAACATAACACCGGAATGAGTTGTAGACTATTATTTAATGACTTTTTTATTTATCTAGAATAATGCAAAACTTATTCAGCGAGTATTCTAATTGTTTTGAACAATTGAATAAATGGAGTAACTTTTTCGTTAAAAAAAAGAGGTCAATCGTATACGGAACCAATAGATTAGATAAGGCAGCTACATACGACAGAAGTTGTTACTTCGCATGTATGCACATATTCGAAGGGTATTCCTTGTCCAGTAAAATTTTTAAAAACTTAAAAGTGTGACGACATGGTACGTTGTTGCATACTCAAAAAAATTACACGAACTTGTAATGAGAAAACATGATCATTAATAAACAATAAAAGATAACTAGATGGGCGCAAATTATCTGTGGAAGACCTTCATTGTTAGCATATTTTTTGTATTCTACACATGCATTATCATCATTACAATGCCATTAGTTTTAAAGACTGATTGGAGACGCACTTGAAATTGTCAGTTTGCTTTGCTAGATTTTAACACTAAATACAAAAAGGAAACTTTAGGATTGTTTAGCTGGGGCTGCAACGTAGAGAAGTAGATGTTAGGAAGGGAGTCAAACAGGGATGCACCTGTCACCGTTACTTCTTAATCTATTGGGTTGTTCGGAAAGTCATTTCGTTTTTTCCCGACAGAGGATTTAATTGTATTCTTTTGCACCCAACTTCACATTTAAGCCGTATAATTTTTATATGCTTTGAGAGCTCATATAGCAAGGCTTGTGTGTGAAAAATTCCAATTAATTCTACGCAGTAGTTTTTGGTTGGTGCCCTTTTAAATATGGAGAGCGATAAGCAGCATTTTCGACATATCTTACTGTTTTACTACAGAAAGGGTAAAAATGCTGTTCAAGCCAGAAAGAAATTGACTGATGTGTATGAAAAAGGTCTGTTGACAGTACGCCAGTGCCAGAACTGGTTCGCTAAATTTCGATCCGGCAATTTTGATGTCGAAGATGCACCACGTTCGGGAAGGTCGGTTGAAGCTGATAAAGACGCGATAAAGGCATTAGTTGATGTGAACCGGCGAATAACAACACGTGAGATCGGATTGAGGTTAAATTTATCAAATTCAACAGTTTATGACCACTTGAAAGACCTGGGATTATCCTCGAAGTTCGATGTATGGGTTCCCCATGTTCTCACAGAGTGTCGCCGCATTGACGTCTGCGATTCGCTTCTCAAACGTCACGAAAATGATCCGTTTTTGAAACGCATCATCACTGGGGACGAAAAATGGGTTGTATACAATAACGTCAAACGCAAGAAGTCATGGAGCAAAAAAGATGAACTAATTTAATAAAGTATTTGTTTATTATACGAAAACTGTCTTTCATTTCCACAAAAAAAAAAACGAAATGACTTTCCGAACAACCCTATAGATTAAATTATTGTTCGCAAATAGTTAAGGATGTAGGTTTTTCCAGTTTTAAGGAAATGGGAAGATTAGCTCAGGATAGGAGAGAGCGGGGGTGCGTGTCCAATCAGTCTTAGGACTGACGACCTTATGATGATGATAGCACTAGACACAAAAGGGGATCCACAAGAATATCCTCGGAATAATCAAAGCAAAGTTTTTTTCTTTTTTCAGTGTGTATTGGAAGCGTCTCCCTCGGCGCTTCAATATCCTGGACGTCTCCGGTACTTCCCCAATTGGAATCCGTAAATTCCACTGTGCGTGTAACAACAGAGGAAGCTTCCTGGGTCGGATCAACGTTAGCCCTTGGTGCTTTAATATCAGCAATACCAGCAGGCTATGTTGCCGATCGTTTCGGCAGAAAAACATGCACTTTGGCTTTTGTGGTACCAGTTTTACTGTTTTGCGGACTTATTTTGACAGCAACGAACGTTTATTACCTTTACGCGGCTAGAATGTTGTCAGGGTTCGCGACGGGGGGCGTTTCGGTGGTGGCCCCCATGTACATAGGGGAGATATCGGACGTTCAACTGAGGGGAATCCTGGGGACATTCTTTGAACTCCTTATCTACGTTGGGATTCTAGTCTCAGCTGTGCTGGGTGCTTACGTAAACTATATTACTTTGACGGTGGTACTGGGTGTCATTGCGGGGGTGTTGGGGGCGTGTTTCGTGTTTTTCCCCGAAAGTCCCACCTACTTGATGATGATAAACAAGAAGAGCTTGGCGGAAAAGTCGTTGAGGTTCTATCGGGGGAAGAAGTACGACGTCAGTAAAGATTTGGACTTGATCCAAGAGGAACTGGACTTGATAGACAAGAGGAAGGGTAGTTTGTGGGATTTGTGGAAGTCGAAGGCCGCGATGAGAGGCCTTGTGGCTTGCGTGGGGTTGACTGCGTTCCAACAGTTGTGCGCAGTGGACGCGGTCATGTTTTATTGCGTTTACGTTTTTCAAACGGCCGGAACGTCCATCGATGCCTACACATCGTCTGTTATCACCTCGGTGATCCAATTGATTTCGGCAACGTTCGCAGTTTTCGTAATCGAGAAGTTCAATCGGTGCACATTTCTGTACATTTCGACCTTCGGCCTCGGCATAAGCCTCGCTTTGTTTGGCGCCTACTTCCAGATAAAAAATGCAGGCTATAACTTCCAGGGAATGGATTTGATTCCGTTGGCGTCGATGATAAGTTACTTTATATTTTTCGCGGTTGGTTTGGGGCCGATTCCGTGGCTCATAAACGGCGAGTTGTTCTCGTCGGAAATCAAAGGTCCGGCTAATGGTATTACCATAGCGACGAATTGGACAATGTTGTTCCTCGTTACTAAGTCGTTTCCGGTGATGCTGGATAAAATGGAACCGCAGTACACTTTTTATTCGTTCGCGGCCCTTATGGTTTTGTGTCTGGTTTTCATAAGGTTTTGCGTGCCGGAGACCAGGGGGAAAACTTTACCCGATATCCAAGTAGAATTAAGCAAATAAATAAAGGAAAACGATGTAATATAATTAATGGTAAAAAAATCTGTGATTCCTTAGATCATATTTATTAACAATTTGTTATTATGTTTTAGAACTATCGTAGAATTTTTAACTCTTAAAATATTGTACCCATACGCCTCTATACCTAGTTTCCTAGTTCGTTTTTCGTCTTGCTGGGCCAAGACCTTGTACATTGTTATTATTATACCTGTTATATTTAAGAATTCGTAATTATAGTTGTGTACAAATTAGACAATTTTTAATCTACGTTTGTAAGATATTATTAGGAATTTACCACGTGTGTAGACATTGTTTAATATACTTATGTGTATGTATTATTTACAACACGTAGCGTTGTTTTTATTTGACATTTTATAGTCATTTTGTTAAAACTTATTACAGAAGTAATGAGTAACCAGAAATTATTAAAAACGATGCATAGTACAAAGTAGTCGATCTCTAAACATTAGAATTAGAGAACATAAACATAATATTAAAAACCACTACATTAATTGTACTTATATCTCTCAATACTGAATTTAATTATTAGTTATCTATAGTTTTTTAGTTTTTTTATCTGCCTTAACAGCGGTATTCATAAACTATTTTTACTTTGTGCATTTCTAGAACACGGTAGGCACTTTTTCGAATGGTGCAAGTTTCATTTACGAATTACTCCTCTTAGAACAAAAAACGAGGGTCTAGACCTTTACTCTCGCCCCGAAGGGGGTGGGAGCAGGGGGGATTGAAAGAGGAGGTCTCCCCGACCACTGTACCATAAAAACTTTGCGGCGGTCTCACCCCCATGAAAAATGGGGGCTCAAAGTTTATTATTTTATTAAATGTAGATATCGAGTTACCTAGAGATAGCTTTAAATAAAATGGAAGCATTACTGACAGATCAGTACTGTATGAAAATAAATAAAAGTAAAACTAAAATACTGATATGCAAGGGGAGAAAAAGTAGACGAAAAATTAGAAGAAGTGGCTGATTTTAGATACCTAGGAAGTCAGATAAGTCAGGATGGAAGGAGTGGTAGGGATATAAAGCAGAGGATAGCAGGGTCGTGTTGCCTTTAATAAAAAGAAGTCACTTCTATGCTCGCGAACGGTTAATTTAGAAATTCGAAAAAGATTGTTAAAGGTGTATGTTTGGAGCACGGCGTTGTACGGGTGCGAAACATGGACAGTGGGAGCGGCGGAAAAGAAAAGGTTAGAAGCGTTCGAAATGTGGTGTTAAAGGCGGATGATGAGGATATCGTGGGTAGAAAAGGATAGAAATGAAGAGGTATTGGAAAGAATAGGAGAACAGAGGACTCTATGGAAGTCAATAAAAAATAGGCGAGATAGGTTGGTAGGACACCTTCTCAGGCATGAAGGTCTAGTCAGAGACATATTAGAGGCAGAAACAGGAGTTAGGAGGGGTGGAGGTAGACCTAGATTAGATTACTCTTCGAAAATAGTTAAGGATGTGGGATGTTCTGGTTTTAGGGAAATGGGAAGATTAGCTTAGGGTAGGAAAGAGTGGAGGCACGTGTCCAACCAGTCTTAGGACTGATGACCTTATGATGATGATGTTGAGATATCGAGTTGATTACACAACTATTAAAAATTTTTTTTTTAATTTGTTTTTTTGGCTTTTTTTCTTTGGGGGTGTAACCGCCGCGAACTTTTTATAGTGGTTTAGTCAGGAAGACCTTCTCTTTCAATCCCCCTTGCCCTCACCCCCGAAGGGGGATAATCTAGACCTTTACCAAAACGAATCTTTCAAGTATCATAAATTAACAAATTGTTAAATTACAATTTACAAATTCAAATTCAAAAGAATTCCTGTTTTCGTAATTTCGATATTTTAAGTGACTTATACATGATTTAGTTACATTTCACGTACTGGAAAAATGACAATACACACTATTTTTCGTACCTAGTATATGTATTAGTATATAAATGAATGTTACCTTAGTACAGAAGGGTAGCAGTCGTGATTAAATAGGGCAACCGTGGGATAAATTGCAACCCCTATATAAACCACCTTTACATCTTTTAATTGACAATCAGGCGTCTGTCTTGTTTCGTATATTTCATGGGCATTAAATTGTAACATCTGCAAATGGTACAGAAGAAGTTCCCCAATCTGGTATTCTTCTTCTTCTGGCATAACTACAATAATAAAAATAGAAAATTTCGCGATTTTTTCTGTAACCCTAACTAATATTAAGTATAAATACGAATGTGAGGGGTGCATAAAAGGACAGAGGGTACCTTTTATCTAGACAAGTAATACTGTCTTCGACGGGTAGAAAAGTTATAAAATTATGTGGTCGTCGATGATTTTTGACACGTATTTAGAACATTAATGCAAACGAAGCCGAGCGTAAAACCTACCATGAAATTTTGTACATACATTGCTAGGGGTACAATAATATACATAAGGTACTTTTTCTCCAGAAAAAAGAATACTGGTCCTGAAGGATACAAAAATTAGTTTTATATTGTCGTCGATGGTCTTTGACAAGTATTTAGGTAAAACCAATTATAAAATTTTGTGGACAGTTAGTAATTAATAAAATTAACAAAAAAAGTTTGTAATCATCAAATTATTTTTCATAAAGTCCTTTTTATGTACCACGAAGAAAGCAGAAATACGGAAGGAATTGAGTCGATTAATATATTTAAATTGTGTTGAAGCAAGTACACAAATTTTAAATTCGCGCAGGTATTAAGAAAATAGGACCTAAAAGTGAAAGTAACAATTGTTATCGTCTCGTTAGATGGTTATTTTTAGCCCAGAAAAGTAAACAAAGTCGAAGAAATATTAAAGTGGGGAATATTTTCTTATTTTATAGTGTATTTTATATACAGCGTGTCACACAGTATGAGTAAAAAGGTATAACTGAAAGTAATAAAAATAATAATTTGTAATAACATACGTATGTAAATGCTTTTGTTAGTTTAAATATCCTTTTAGGCTTTAAATTATTTAAAAAAAGAAATGCGTTTCTACAAAATAAAGATTGAATTTGTTTGCATTTTTTTTTCGAAAGTTTTAAAAATTACAGATGACTTTATTTTAAGAGATTTTATGTTTTTTAACTCTCTCTATGTGTGTCGTGGGGTGTGATTGTCGAAAAGGAGTCACAAATAATGCACAATTATAATTTTCTAGCAACAAATTACATGATCAGTAACTGAATGGGTTTAAATCCAAATACTGACCTTAAGTAATATACAAAAAGTGCGTAAATGTCTAGATGATGAGTGGGATCGAAAGAGGAGGTCTCCTCCACCACTGTACCATAAAAAGTTCGTGGCGGTCTCACCCTTATAAAAAGTTATGGGGGTTAGATGGGGGTGAAGGTGGGGGTGATCGAAAGAGGGTAGGGGGGATTGAAAGAGGGTGGTCACCTGAGTAAAATCCCATAAAAAATTTGCGGCGGTCTCACCCCCATAAAAAGTTATNTAAAAATAAAAAATTAAATTAATAATTAAACAAATAAGCAGAATTCTAAATACAAATATTTATGATTCCTTTTGTTATCAGACTATAAGTTTCTAGATTGCAATTACGTATTTTCAAGTATGTTATTGTCATAAGTTATCCATTTGAGTATTTTATTTAAACTTACCGGTTCGAATTTGTATAAAATTCTTAATCTGTCTTTGTCGCTTTTCAATTTTCCGAAAACATCATTGATCCAATTATTACCTGCAACTTCTTCCACTTTGTCAGCGAATTGTAGGAAGAAACCGTTCTCATTTGATTGCAAAGTTTTTTCACTACATCTAGATAAATAGTCTTTTGATAACTGAACATTATTTGCCATATCGAATCGTTATATTTTATGAGTTATCTAATTAATGAATTCCTAGATCATCTTTCAGTCTTTTTTATATTTTAACCGACTTGTGTAGAGATGCTGCAGCCTATCTACAAATTCACCTAGCGTTTGTACCGAATTTAAATATATATTTGTTATTAAAAGGTAAATGTTTTGTGAATAAAACCTATAAACCAGTGTTATGCTTTTTTGTGAGATACTGTACATATAAAGACGGCAAGAGACGCCAACTGAAGATTCGACCTACAACGTACCCTTGAAAAGTGAAAGGATTCGTCGTCGCTAGGGCTTTTTGCGATAACAGAACGTTGGCAGTTACACACAAAGAAAAGAATACACATTAGAGAGATATGTATTTAGAAATACAAGAATTTTCAGAGCTTTATTAGACATTATTCATTCAGTGCGGAATCGGTCGTTAAAGAACATCGTGTAATCGTGTTTTTATGTAGTTCCTTTGATTGTGTGTCCTTTTACAAAACCGTAATTATAATTAAACAATTAATTACCGGTTAATGATGTGTTGTGCGTGTACGTGTGCGTGTAACATTTATGTACTTTTTACGGGAGTGTTGACATTAGGGACATAAAAAGACTCGAAGAAAATTGAAAAGATTCTGGCATATGAAAAGGATTAATAAGTCGTCTTTGCAAGGTAGGATTCATGCCTTTTTAATTCCTGGTTTAATTGTGTTACATTTCGGTGCGCTTTTCTTTGTAAAAGGATTTTAAATGCAGAAATCCTTAGCTCGTCCATTTCAAGGCAACAAATATGAAGAATTTCTTGAATAACATTTATTTAACACTCGATATATGTTTCGCTTTATAAGGACACCATCAGGAGTAATAATTATACATTACAGGGCGAGTGGAAAAATTGTTTGTTAATTTTTGGTAGTTTTACTATTTTTTCCACTCGCCCTGTAATGTATAATTATTACTCCTGAAAATTGTTTGTTAATTTTTGGTATGCAAGGGAAGAAAAAGTAGGGAAAGAGTGAATATAAAGATAGGAGACGAAAAATTAGAACAAGTGGCTGATTTTAGATACCTTTCGATCCGACTTGTAATAATCGAGATATTAATAATAACAGTAACCAATCAGAATGAGCTGACATCGCTGCAACCGAACTGCTGCACTTGCAGAAATATCGATGCAATGCTGCGCCTACTGCAAGTTGCAACAAAATGCGCCCCGTTTGATTGGCTACTGCTTGTTAACAGCTTTCATAACTAAATATTTATCTAATCAGAAAACTGAAAAGGAAAAAGTGATTCAAAATTTCACAAACAATAGAATGGTGTACAAAATTAGACAGCTGAATATTATTCTTGGTTGACTAACAACTGTAGGGATAGATATACAAGGGCAAAAGATTAGTATGCTTAGATTTGCAGATGATATAGCAGTATTAGCATCTAGCAAGGAGGAAAAATGAAGATTGGAAAAACTTTGGCGGTTGTTGTAGAACAAACAGAATAACTCAAAACCCCAACGACAAAACAAGACACTGTAGTTGTCCGAAGCACTTTTCGGTAACAAAGTTACCTTCTTCAGGGACTGAAGTAAACTCAGTTTCTTGTTTTGGCGTTGGGGTTTTGAGCTATTCTGTTTGTTCTAGCAAGGAGGAGTTAGAGATAGCTTTAAATAAAATGGAAGCGGTACTGACAGATCAATACTGTATGGAAGTAAATAAAAGTAAAACTAAAATACTGGTATGCAAGGGAAGAAAAAGTAGGGAAAGAGCGAATATAAACATTGGAGACGAAAAATTAGAAGAAGTGGCTGATTTTAGGTATCGAGGAAGTCAGATAAGTCAGGACGGAAGGAGTAGTAGGGATATAAAGCAGAGGATAGCGCAGGGTCGAGTCGCCTTCAATAAAAAGAAGTCACTTCTGTGCTTGAGAACGGTTAATTTAGAAATTCGAAAAAGGTTGTTAAAAGCGTATGTTTGGAGCACGGCGCTGTACGGGTGCGAAACCTGGACAGTGGGCGTTGCGGAAAAGAAAAGGTTAGAAGCCTTCGAAATGTGGTGTTATGGGCGGATGATGAGGATAACGTGGGTAGAAAAGGTTAGAAATGAAGAGGTATTGGAAAGAATAGGAGAACAGAGGACTCTATGGAAGTTAGTAAAAAATAGGCGAGATAGGTTGGTAGGACACCTTCTCAAGCATGAAGGTTTAGTCAGAGACATTAGAAGCAGAAACAGGAGTTAGGAGTGGTAGAGGTAGATTACTGTTCGCAAATAGTAAATTATGTGGGTTGTTCTAGTTCTAGTGTTCTACCTGTCTTAGGACTGACGACCCTATGATGATGACTAACCTTCTTCATTGGCGCAGCCATCCTTGAAGAATCCACTTTTTTGCAAAATCCTTAGTAAAAATGCGCTCATTACAGCTCTCTGTAAAAAATCGCTGGTAGATCTTTTTTCCCAATTCGTGCACAATTGATACACCTCCTCTTTGTCCCTGTTCTGGTATATTTTCAAACATTTGTCCAGTCCAAACTGAGTTACCATTCTGAGTGCTGTGTGGGAAAGGATGCTCATACCGGATCCAATTATCAGGTCCAAAAAACGGCATTCGTATTTGTGGTACGTATTTAGGGCGGCGTCTCTACATTCTGGTTTGCAGAATGCCACACTCGAGCAGTCTTTACATCCTACAGGCGATAATAACCTAAAATTATTCTATGTAGGTAGGTGACTGTGTATATGTATAATAAAATGCATTTTACTTTTCAAAACAATGATGACAATGGCTTCCAAAGAAATCTGGTAACAAGCAAGATGCGTATGGAGCTTGTACCACCAATGTGTCTCCTGTTCGTATGTCTTCCTTCGCTATCATATATCTCCCTTTACTGCTTTCTTGGTCAACTGTTATTTTGCTTGAAGCGTTCGGAAGATCGTTCTTTTGTCCTTCAGGTATCACGGGAAGATCTTCATTATGCAATAAAAAATATCTAAATAAAAAAATTATCATTGTAAAGTCTTCAGCCTCAAAACAGGTTGTACACGCACCTCTACTTCTTCGTATTCTGAGTAAATGTTTCATACTTCTCTAAAACTACCTCTAACTACCTAAGAACACTAATCTATCGCAGGATTACTTTTATTCCACTTAACTCATCCTCGTGCTTCTAATATGTCTCTGCCTAGCCCTTCTATAGTTCGAAATGTAGTGTTAGAGGCGAATGATGAGGATACCGTGGATAGAGAAGGTTAGAAATGAAGAGGTATTAGAAAGAATAGGAGACCAGAGGACTCTATGGAAGTCAATAAAAAATAGGCGAGATAGGTTGGTAGGACACCTTCTCAGGCATGAAGGTCTAGTCAGAGACATATTAGAAACAGAAACAGGAGTTAGGAGGGGTAGAGGTAGACCTAGATTAGATTACTGCTCGCAAATAGTTAAGGATATGGGTTGTTCTAGTTTTAAGGAAATGCGAAGATTAGTTCAGGAAAAGAAAGAGTGGAGGTGCGTGTCCAACTAGTCTTAGGATTGACGACCTTATGATAATGATGCTGGTGACAGGTTCAAATATTGCTTGTCTGCATCTCTTTCTGTTATACATCAATTGGTGTAATCTTATTCCTTTTTCTTTATTAGTGTCCGCTGCAATTCCTGCCTGACATCTCTTTTCCATTTTGGCGATATTTTCTATAATGTCTGTCGTCAGTACAACTAGGCGTTCTGTCAGCAACCGCTCTAGTTTAGTTAGTAAGTTGAAAGAAGAAGGTAAATGTGACGGTTATATTCCGGACTATACTAATTTTGAACGTTCAAACTATACCAACCTAGAAAATACTACAAATGACGCAGTAAACGCCATCTGTAGCATGAGCTACATTTTAGGATTACGTATGCTCCAACAAGGTCCACTTGTGTGGATATCTACTTGCTGAAAACGAATCCCGGCGTAGCCAACCTCAACGTGATAGGCACGTTAACTTAATCGAATAAAATAATTCGAAGTGGTCTGTATTCTGTCGAAACTGCCAGACACGGATCGCGATTTCTATCTTTTTGGATCTCATCAGCGCGTCGCGTTTTCAGCAAGTAGATATGCACACAAGTGCACCTTGTTGGAGCATACGTAATCCTAAAATGTAGCATCGTGCTACAGGTGGCGTTTACTGCGCCATTTGTAGTATTTTCTAAAACGCACTGTTAAGACAGCAGGTACAAGTTGGTCTGTGTTCTGTCGTAGCTGGCTGCGACGCGCTGATGACATCCAAAAAGATCGAAATCGCGATCCGCGTCTGGCAGTTTCGACAGAATACAAACCACTTCGAATTATTTTATACCAACCTATTTCGCCTATTTCTTATAGACTTATCCTACCCTTTCTAATGCCTCGTCATTTCTAACTTTTTCTATCTATTGTATCTTCACCATTCTCCTGTCACAGGCTACAGCTTTCATACAATATTTTTCGGTCAAAACCGCTTCCATTTTCATTAAAACTACCTCTAACTCCTCTCTACTAAACGCTAAGACTTCTAAAGTATCATCAGATATAATATGTGTGCCTATCCCTAAAGATGTCCTGCCTTTAATCATATTAATTGCATCTTCGACATACAAAGATAATAAATAAAAGCATTCTATCTATTTTGTAGATCCTTACGTTTTTGATTTTTTGTTACTTCAGCGACTGGCTGCTTTTCAAATTCTTCTCTAAATGTTGCTATTTTGTTGGCGTCCCCCCTTAACATTTTTTCTGCGATCGCGATTGAAATTTTGGCTCGAGGTACATCTCGTAGGCTTTTATAACAAAGTGCCATATTTTTGTAGACTTCTGCATGATGATCGTCTGTAAGCTCTTCCTTCATCGCCAATTGGATATCTGTTATTGCTTCGGAATAATGTTTTAGCTTCATCAGAAGCTTGGATCTGCTCCAATAGGCTAATGATAACGTAAAACCATCGTCTATTCTGGGTTCTTCCCCTAAATAAGTACCAGTAAAATGAATAAACTACTTAAATATATTGTTACATTCGTGAAATGTACGTTGGGGTTGATTTGGGAAGGAAATATCACCAGTTCTGATAGCCCACTACGTTCCAGGTCATTTATGAATGAGTTCGCCTTCCCAAATTGACCCAAGTGCAATAAAAAGTCTTTAAACAAAACGTGTACCTGTTCCAGGTGCTCTAAGGACACTTTGACAATACAGTAACAAAGCCTTTTGTAATTCGCCATCTTTTTCTAACTTTTCAGCTGCTACTCTTCTAGATCGCGACACTGACGCGTCTTTTTGACGATATATTTCTTGAACACGTGACAGCGTCTCACATAATACTTCCCGCACCTGATAATAAAATTATTTTTAATGCTGGGTTATCATATCTACTATGATCGTTATCTTTGTGCTGTAGCAGACAAACTATAATATAAATCTATTAAATTTACGAATTTATTCTGGGTNAGCAGAATTCTAAATACAAATATTTATGATTCCTTTTGTTATCAGACTATAAGTTTCTAGATTGCAATTACGTATTTTCAAGTATGTTATTGTCATAAGTTATCCATTTGAGTATTTTATTTAAACTTACCGGTTCGAATTTGTATAAAATTCTTAATCTGTCTTTGTCGCTTTTCAATTTTCCGAAAACATCATTGATCCAATTATTACCTGCAACCTCTTCCACTTTGTCAGCGAATTGTAGGAAGAAACCGTTCTCATTTGATTGCAAAGTTTTTTCACTACATCTAGATAAATAGTCTTTTGATAACTGGATATTATTTGCCATATCGAATCGTTATATTTTATGAGTTATCTAATTAATGAATTCCTAGATCATCTTTCAGTCTTTTTTATATTTTAACCGACTTGTGTAGAGATGCTGCAGCCTATCTACAAATTCACCTAGCGTTTGTACCGAATTTAAAAATAGAAAATCTAAATTTAACATTACATTTACCAGTTTTATTTCGGTAATTGGGGATAAGGACTGGGTAATCGTTGATATTTGTGTATTCATATCATTGTAAATTAAATTTAAACGACTTATACGAGGGGGCGTTTTTAAGTTTCGCGGAATGGGGGGTAAGAAGTGGAAATAAAAGTACGAATTTATTTTTCCTTTTCAATATATTCAGCTGCTACCCTCATACATTTATCTGATCTTTCAATTAACTTACGTATGCCTTCGAAAATAAATGTTTTATCATTGTCTGAAAAATACGTTGGAACTGCATCCTTCACTTCTTCGTCGCTTAAAAATTTCTTCCCAATAGGACTTTTTTTCAAGTTTGGGAATAGGTAATAATCGCTGGGAGCTAAGTCAAGACTATAGGGTGGATGAGCCAAAATTTCGAAGCCCTCCTTCTGCAGGGCAGCCATCACAACAAGGCTCTTGTGAACAGAAAGAGGACACCTTTGGTCAACTTTCATCATCCTTTTTCCTTTGACTGCTTCCTTTAACCGCTCTAGGATTGAAGCATAGTATTCTTCGGTTATGGAGACACCTTTATCATTATAATCGATCAACAGGATCCCTTCTAAGTCACAAAAGACTGTCGCCATAGTTTTCCCAGCCGACTGTGACACCTTAAACTTCTTGGGCGGTGGTGTGTCTTCTTTCTGCCACTGCATAGAGTCCTGTTTGTACTCAGGTTCACAATGATGAACCCAAGTTTAGTCCTCAGTAACAATTCAAGTTAATACTCCATTTTTATCTTCAATATAGCTCGAGAACATTCCACACGCTGTTGTTTCTGAGGCACAGTGACTTTAGTCATGCCAAGATGATCGTGAAGAATTTTAAAAATGGTTACATTTGATACTCCTACCATTTCTGGGAGCTGTTTCTTCTTAAGTCTGGCATTTTCCAGTATTAATTTTTTCACTTTTTGAATGATTTCCTGAGTGGACACCTCGATCGGCCGGCCTGGCTGTGGGTCGTCTTCAAGCGAGTCCCTGACTTGTTTAAAGAGGATATTCCACTTGTAAACTATGGTTTTACCTGGGCAAGAGTCTTCGTAAACGGATGACATCTCTTCCAGTATGGTTTGATGTGATTTTCCTTGCTTTGCAAGGAACTTTATAACAGCGCGGTACTCGATTTTCTCCATATTTCACAATTTGTTTCCGATTGACTTTGTTTCGTCGACGATAGTTCAAAGACTACTGACCTAATTACTGTAAAACTTGGTATTTATACTAATAATGAGTTGCTTAATTCGTAATGACTCAAGTAAATACCCTTACTAATGACCTACCTACCCATTCTGCGAACTTAAAAACGCACCCTTGTACGAGGGTGGATTGATAAGTTTCCGGCCTGACCAAGAAAAACAAGGTTTTTAAAAATTTTTTTTTTTTATTTCTCAACATAATCTCCTCCAAGGCTGATACATTTCTCATAGCGGTGTTCCAGTCTATTAATGCCATCTCTATAGACTGATTCGTCAAGCTCCTCAAAATAACCATTTACAGCTTCGATTACT